ACACACATCCATACCTACCTACTTACCTACCTACCTACCTACTTACCTACCTACCTACCTACCTACCTACCTACCTACATACATACATACAGACAGACATACAGACAGACCGACAGACATATAGAACCTACTATTCAGGTCCTTGCATTATTCTTGGAAGTGTTCTGCCAAACCCAGGTCGCGGGAGAGGGCTACGCCTTCACATCCACCTGCACTGTGGGGGACGGCATTGCGCCCGGTGCCGAGGCCAACACCGATTTAGGGTTTTGGGTTTAGGGGTTTAGGGCTTAGGGGTTTAGGGTTCAGGGTTTAGGGGTTTAGGGTTTGGGGGTTGGGGGTGGGGGGTTTAGGGTTTGGGGTTTTATGGGTGTTAGGGGGTTTAGGGGTTTTAGGGGTTTCAGGGGTTTAGAGTTTAGGAGTTTAGGAGTTTAGGGTTTAGGGGCTTGCAGGCTTTGGGCTTTAGGCTTTAGTACTTGGTTTGGGCTCTGGGGTGCAGTCTAGTAGGGTTTAGCGAAAACTGGGTATCGCTGGAAGGAAGTCGCAAGGTGTTATGCGGTTCTTCCCTAAGCCCCAAACCTTGAACCCCAAAATCCTAAACTCTACCTTCAACCCTAAAAAGGAGTCCAACAAGAAACCCTAAACCCTAACCCCTTGTTCAAGAGTTGTACATGACGATGCACCAGGAGGTTTTAACTTTCTTGAACGCCCACAGCGTAGTAGTTGGGGCCGGTGGGGGGAGTGGGAGATGCGAGTTTAGGTACAGCGCTTCAGGGCTACAGCTTCTGAAAAACTAGGACTTTAGGGTTTTGGGCTTTTAGGGCTTTAGGAGGTTTGAGGGTCGATGGTTGGTTTCCCCTAGACTACCGGCAACCAAGCAAGGCATGAAGGTGTTCTGCTAGACGACCCCACTTAATGTAGGGGCCTTAATGATTAGAATAGGGTTTTGGGGTATATTGTAGTATACTTATCATAAGGAACCTAAGGAATAACATAGGTAGTTATCTAAGCTTCTATAGTAACCCCAAACGATAAAGTCCACCAAAAGCCATCTGCAGTAGGCCGGGCAGAATCCCCCGGCGGGCTGCAGCTGCGGGATTTCTGCCGGTGTGGCCTCCATTTGCCTGCCGAACGGCGCCTTGGCAAGCCCCTCAATGCAAGCCTTATCCCTAAACCCTAAACCCCAAACAACTAAACCCTAAACCCCAAACCCCAAACCCCTAAACCCTAAACCCCTAAACCCTAAGCCCCTGAACGCTAAACCCTGAACCCTAGAACCCTAAACTCCCACTAGTCCCTACCTTGAGGCTACTGAATCCCCAAAAAAGGGTTCAGCCTCCCAAATCCCTCAATCCTGAACCCAACTGAAACCCGAGACTAGAAAGGGGGCCCTAAAGCCCTAAACCCCTAAA